TTAGATTCCAAGAGCTGCATACTGCTGAGCCCTGTTGAACAATCTAATTTTTTTTTTATGGCCTATCATATAGTCTGTCTCGGTGAATATTCCATATGCAGTTGTATAGTCTACAGTTTTTGAGTTCAGTGTTTAATATCATTTTTGTCAGGCTGTTTGATAACGTTTTTTCAGACTTTTATGTTCCTATTGGTTTTCTGTCTACTTGTTATTTCAATTACTGAGAGACTGATGTTGAAATCTTCAACTATAAATATGGATTTGCCAATTTGTCACTTTATTCTTTTAGTCCCACTAATTTTTGCTTTATATATTTTGAATTTCTGTTTAGAATGTTTAAGTCTTCTTCATGAATTGATCCTTTTATCATTAGGAATTGACCTCTATCTCTGGTAATACTTCTTGTTCTGAGCGTACCTTGATATTCTTAGTGCTTAATTGGCTCATCTTTTTCCATCCTTTTACTTTTAATCTATATACATTTTTTTTTTATATATTGGAAGTGGGTTTAAAATTCTACTCTGCTTTTTATTTGGTGTGTTTAGGTAATTCTCCTTAGAATTGATTTTGGAGGTGGCAGGGTAATGATGTGATGCTTAGAGCTGGGACAGCCATGTTTAAACATGAGGGCACAGATCTGAAGAAGCAAGCCAACACATCAAAGATTTCAGAATGGAAGGATGAAAAGAGTTCTTGATGATATTGTTGAGCTCTTGCTCTAGCCCTGGGCTTATTGTGATACTGAGTGTCTTACTCAACCTATCTGAGTATTCTGTTACTCACAGACTAAAGCTCAATTGTCAATTGTCTATAATCCTCAGCTATACCCTAATCATATATTATCATAAACTGTTATCTCAGCAATTCAGATGGCCATGAACTCTTAGAACCAGAAACACTGTCTTCTCTTAAATCCTGGAAGAGGTCTTCCACAAGGTGTGGTATTTTGTAGGTACTCAGAGAAGCCATATTGAACGGATGACACTAATGTCTGTCTCCTATTCTTCCTCCCTAGTAAGAGGAAGGAGCAGAATGTTGTTCCCTTCTTATAATGGAGCTAGATGGACTAGGAAAGAACATTAAACTGGGACTCACAGAACCCGGTTTCTAGTCCTGGTTCTGCTAAACAGGCCGTGTGAACTCAGGATATGTGTATTCCCTAGGCCTTCAAATCAGACAAAACCCAAATGTCCTCTGATTCTGTGAGATTGTTCCTATTTAGAAAACGATACTACTAAGTGAGGGTAGGAAATGCATGCTTATCAGTAAACGTTTATAACTGGAAATTCACTCGAACCAAGTCACAGAGTGGTAGAATGTTCAATCTGCAAAGAACTAAGATTAGTTCAAGCCTCTCCATTTCGTAGATGAAGAAATTCATGCCTAGAGAAGTGACAGTGATTCACTAGGGATCACCTTTAACCGAGTAAAAATGAAGGTTCACATCTTTTGATTCCCAGGACCAGTTTTTTCTACTGTTCCAAAGAGTCTTCCACTTCCTCACATCCTGAGGGAAAGTCAGTGTTTTCAGAAACATAATCAAAACAGATTTCTGATTTTAAATGTCAGCAGTCAAAGAAATATGCAAAATTAAAAGGAGAATGACACAGGTCCATGGAACAGAACAGAGAACCCAGAAAGAGACCCACACAAATATGCCCTACTAATTTTTGACAAAGAAGCAAAATCGATCTGATGGAGGAAAGCTAGGCTTTTCAACAAATGGTTACTAAATGGTTTTCAACAAATGGCTACTAAAAAGCAAAAAACATAGGAGTGATATTCAGGCTAGACTAGGCTAGGCAAGAATTTTAGACTTGACACCAAAGACATGATCTATAAAAGAAAAAAAACGATTCATTAAACCTCACCAGAATGAAAAACTTTGCTCTGTAAAATACCATGCGAAGAAGATAAAAAGGCAAGTTACAAACTGGGAGAAAATATTTACCAGCTGTACTTCAGATAAAGAATATCTAAAATATATTTTTAAATGTTCAAAACTCTGTTGAAAAACAAACAGTCCAATTAAAAAATGGGTAAAAGACCTGAACAGACATTTCACTGAAGAGGGTGTACAGATGGCAAAGGAACACATGAAAAGATGTTCAACATCATTAATCAGTAGAAAAATGCTCATCAAAACCGCAGTGAAATATCACTATACACCTATCAGGGTGACCAAAATAAAAAAATAGTGACACATCAAATGTAGGTGAGGATGTGAAGGAACAATCCCTCACTCATTGCTGGTGGGAATGTAAAATGGTACAGCCACTTTGGAAAAGAGTTTGGCGGTTTCTCGTAAAACTAAACATATAATTACCATGCAAGCAAGCAGTTGCACTCTTGTGCATTTGTCCCACAGAAACGGAAACTCATGTTCACACAAAAACCTGTCCCTGAATGTTCCTGGCAGCTTTGTTCATCATAGCCCAACTGGAACAACCCAGATTTCCTTCGACAGGTGAAGGCTTCAACGGCGGTACCCCCGTACTACGGAGTACTACTCGGTGATAAAAAAGAACAGACTGCTGACACATGCAATGTCCATAAAGCAGGTTGACTAAAAAAAGCCAATCTCCAAAGATTACATCCTGTGGTGATTCCATGTATATAACATTCTTTATATAACATTCTGGAAGCGACAAAATTACAAAAATAGAGAATGAATTAGTGGTTGCCAGGGGCTGGAGGAGGGGTAGGGTGGGAAAGGGGTGCGGGTTTGGCTGTAAAAGGCGTGAGGGATGCTTGCGGCGATGGAACTATTGTGTGCTTTGACTGTGTCAGTGCCAGACCCCTGGCTGTGACCTTGTACAATAGTTTCGTAAGATGTTACCATTGAGGGAAACCGGGCCAATGGTGCAGGGGGATCTCTGCCGTATTTCTGAAAACTACATGTGACTCTATAACGCCCTCAAACTAACAAAGTTGAATTAATAAAGAAATACATCAAACACAATGCTAAGCAGACTTTAAAAGGAAAAAAAATGGGGGGGGTATGTGTTGGGGGAAGATGTGAAGGTAAACTGAGTCACTCCCAGCACTGCTGTGGTTTTCCCTCGGCAGGTTAGCCTCCCTGCTCTGGCCATCGGCAGAGAGGTGGGTGCCAGCTGCTCAACTCTCTGTCTACACCTCCCCTTCCTCCTTTCTACCGGGACCGTGAACCCCTGAGTGTTTGAGACACTTCTAAATCCCATCCATCCTTACTTTTTCTGGCCAGAATCTCTAGTCTAGGGCAAGGTGAAACCAGGAAAGTCCAGGTTTTGTTTGCATTGCCTAATAGACTGGGACTCCTCTCAAACTGACAGCGTGATTCAACCTCAGGCTCATCTGTTTTACTGAGCAAAGACGAGCTAGTGGGAAGAAGGCTGCGATTAGGCTGTCCCTCCATCTCCCCGGACAGCACACTCTGGGGTAGTCTGTCTGAGAGGCTCACTGAGGTAAGACAATTGCTACCATGTATATTCCCACTCCAAACATTTTTGGTTAGCTGATCTCACAAGAATCCCATTTCTCGGTTTTGCAAAAGAAGAAATGAAAGCTCAATGAAGCTAAGCTTGCAGCCCTGTCTCACCGCAGGCAGAGAACCCAAGTCTGTCCGCTGCAGGAAGGACGGCAGCCTGCACGGAAGCCGCCTTCTTCCTCTTAGCCGCTGTGTGGCCTGGGCGAGTTACTTGCCCTCTCTGTGGCCCGGTTCCTGGTCTGGGAAACGAGATCATCACAGTGCCAGCCTCCCCAGGTGGTCCCCAAGCCACGTGAGCCAAACACAGGCCAGTGCCGCTCCGCCCGGCACCCCGCCGCAGTCCTTGCGTCTGGACTCCCTTGTCAAAGCCACCAGGCCTCTTCTTGGGCCCAGTCTCAGGAGATGGCCGGGCAGGGTCTCCAGGGACCTGCAGTGCCCGAGCCTCCGGCCTCAGCTGCTTGCAGCAGAACTGGCAGCGCCTCTGGCCGCTCCCCTCCACTTCCCCCCAAATGCTGAGCGCCACCCCTTGCCACGCCCCTTGCCTCCCCCCGCGGGGGTGGGGAATAGGGGTGGGCCCGCGGCCCTTAGCACCCCCTTTACACACCCCACCCCCACCCGGGCCTCCCAGCTCCGCGGAGACCCGCCCTCACCCTGCGGGACTACCAGCGGTCCCGCCCAGATCGCGCTCTGCCAGGACACACTAATTATAGGCCAGTCCTCTCCCATGAGAGCTAGGAGAGCCAGTGAAATGATGCGTGCACAGGCCCCTCCCGTCGTGCCTCCAAGACCCCTCTCTCCCAGAGCTGGGCGGAGCAGGTGAAAAACAACACCTGGGCTTCGGTTTCCTTACTGTTGAATACGGGAAAGACCATCTGTTCCACAAAGGTGTTGTAGGGGATTACTTGAGTGACGTTAAGGGAGGCAGCCAGCATAAAGGCTACACATGGTGGGCACGAGGTAGATGCTAGTCCCTGCTCAGCGCCTCCCTTCCCCAGTTGCCGGGCAGAATCAGGACCCCTGGACTTTTCATCCAGTGACTGTCACTAGTCTTTTGGAGTGAGGCGGAGTGGCCCTTCGGTGTGATGTATAATTCACTTCCTTTCTCACTGCACACTAACTCTTGTCTGGAAGATGGGGCCGCTATCGCTGCCCACCCCCTGGACTGGACAAGTGGGCCACACACAGCCCAGTGGCTCAAAATTCTGTCTTTGTATGGACGTGGTTCTGTAAAGGTATAGGAACAGAAAAATACCTATCCCCTAGAGATGTTGGAGCTGTCCTAAAGCAAGCAGCACAGTGCACTCCTCGTGTTTGTGATGATACTGCTGTGAACAAACTATGGAAAAAAGTATTTAAAAAAAAAAAAGAAAAAGAAAAATTCTGGCTTTGCATTTAATCACAAGAGGAGCTTTTTAAACAAGGACGCGCCCACTCTACCTCCAAAAATTCTGATTCTACTGATTTGGGCACCAGCATTGTTAAAAAGTCCCCAACCTCTAGTGCATAACTAGAATGGAGACCCCCAGGGCTTCAGCTCTTCTCTCAGAAATCTCACTATAGCAGCAGCAAGTTCCTGCAGGTCTGGGAAGAAATATCAGTATTAGCAACGGCTTCTGGGTTGCGATTGTTAGCTTGTCTCCAGATTTGGGGCCCCATTTTATCTGAGTTCTCTACCCTATTGGACAGAAACCAGACAAACTTTGTGGGTAGCAATGCTTTGTTCTCAGGCCAGAAACTGCTCCCCTCACACCCCCACCCTCCCACTGTCTGGCAAGACAGTAGGTGGCAATTGCAATGGAAAAAAGCGCCATAAGAGAGATGCAGGCTGCAGTTATTACTTTCCAAGAGCCTGAAGCAAAGAGTGGAGCTGGAAGCATTTGGCTGTAGTTTGAACATTCCCAACAGTTTCCAGAAGAAGAAATGAGTGAGCGGGAAAGCTTCCTGAGGAGCGAGCGTCACAAAGTCCAGTTTCTAGCTCAGACGTTACTTTGGACAACACACCTCTTCAGCCAGGAGCCAGAGTGGGTTAAACACAGAAAGTGAGTTACTCACGTTTGGTGGCATCAAGTGGCAATCTTGCAGCCAAAAGCAGAAAGCCCAGGAAAGAGTAGAGACATTCCATGCTGACTTCTCACAGACCCAGCGATCGAGGTTTAACTTGTAACTAACTCCTCTGGCCCCAACCACGAAGGACAGCAGTGCTCTTCTGGTCTCTGCTGCGCCTCCCTCCTTATTTTAATTAAATAGGGGCCTCGGGGCTGATCATGTGATGGTATTAAGCAGCACTGCCTGGTCTCTTGAGTTCAACTTCTTACAACTCATGTGCTTCTGACTCACTCTCTCTTAGCATCTGTTTATTCGCATTTCAGATGCACACTGTTTCAATGTTGTGATTCCACATTTCTAGTTAAATAAGTTTCCAGTTAACTTCCTTTCCCATGGACGCTATTTTAATATCCTTCACCAAATGAAATTTGTCTCCAACATCATCGATTACCAACTTGTTTCCGTTCCTTTATTGATTCACTCACCCAGCCCATGTCGAAATGTCACAATTAGGCTTTTTTCCCTGTAATTTAGACAACCATCTCCTCCCAGTGCTAGCTAATGCTTGTATGTATCCTTTCCCCAAGAGGAGAAAAAGATGGGGGTGGTATCTCTTCAATTACTTGAAATTGTGGATTACATATATGGATGATAACATATGTTGTTCCAGAAAGTGATTGAAACAGCTGCACAGGCCTCTAATAGTTGAGAAATTTACCCAAAAGCACACTTAGGATATCTGTGCAATCCTATGTAACTTTGGAAACAACTCGCATAATTTTTGGTAACTGCTCTCCAAGTGTTTATGAGTTGTCTCAGGGCCAGTTGCAAAAAACATACAACACGTTTATTTCGTGTTACAGAAAGCAGGCATTAAATGTCAAAACGAGATTGCCTACCACATGAATTTTATCAAATCAAATCATTTCTTGTTACAGAATGTGCAGAAAATGGGGCAACAGGAACATTTTACTGCGTGTGATATTTCTCTAAGTCACATCTACATGACCATTTTCAGTAGCTATAGAAGTCATGGTTGAGGGTGAGGATAAAACTCTGGGTATTGATTTGTATTTCATCTGGGCTAATGAGGAATAGAAACAGTCTGTGAGACTAACGTGCACGGAGCTGCTGTGGCCAAGTCCCTAAGGCCACACGCAGCTCTTTAGAGCTCCTTCTACAGACTTTGAAGCAAATATAAAGGGAAAAACAGCGAAGAGAATCTCATTCACGATTGAAATGACACTGGTTTCAAATACAAATGAAGAAATTAATAATTTAATTTAGTGTTTATTAGTTTTATGTTATGTGAATAATCTATGTAATTCTATTTGCTTTTTATGACAAATGTGTAACTTTTAGAATTAAAAAAAGCTTCAGTTTAGGGAAAACCTACTATTGATTTTTTAAGTATTATTGCCTTTTGTTACTGATAATTAGTTCTGGTTCGTAGTTTTGGCCCGATTAGCTACCTCCGTCTCTAAATAAATTGGAAATGTCAGACTCTTCTGTAGGAAACCCTTAATTAATAGGGAGACACAGTGATCAAATCTATTATGTCTTCTCTCCCCTGTTCTGTCAAGAGACGACTAGGCAAAAAGGCAAAACTGCAGGCAGCTAGGTGAGGTGAACGAGAAATCCTTAGTTTCAAAGCACTACCCGTTGGATCATTGGTGCCTTGATAATCAACAGCTGACAAAATATAGAGTCGTTTACTTTGTGGGGCCAGATACAGGGCTATTTTGGATTAGGAATATCCTCAAGGTTGTTGAAAAATTATACTGTAAATTAAGTTTGAAATATTTCATTGAAAGAAGCAAACTATCTCAATTACCTGGTATTATCGACATGATTATTCAGTTTGGAAACAATGTTGAGAAAAGTAATTGTCAGCTTACTGGGAATGAGAATGTGCTGAATTGCCTCGAAGCATCCTGGTTTCTGACATGCCTCGTGGTGGCCACAGTCCTGACTTCAGGATCAGCACCTGTAATGACTGCAGCAGCCACCCAAAGGGTGACACGTGGAGCAGCAGGCGACAACCACCCCCAGGAGTCATGGCAGGCAGCGGGGGACTTAATGCCTTTAATTTAAGGAATTTTTCGGTTCAAACTGGTGTTTTTCAGAACGATAATAAAAATTCAGGTTCTTTTCTCTCCAACTGTTGTAAACAGCTGTTGTGTTCATTCTCTTTGGACACTGTAACAAGTGACAGAAACTTGGAAGCTTAAAACAACACAAATCTATAGAAGTCAGAAGTCTGGGTCTCACTTTTCTAAAATTAAATTGTCAGCAGGGAAGCTGTTGAGAAGACTCGGTCTCCTTGCCTTGTGCAGCTTCCGGAGGGTGCCCCACATTTCCTGGCCTGTGGCCCCCTTCCACCTGCGAAGCCAGCCATGCCGATCGACGACCCTCCACATCACACCCCTCTGACGCTGACGCTCCTTCCTCCCTCTCTCCCTTGTAAGGATCCTGGGGATTACACGGGCCTCACCTGGATAATCCAGGTTCATTCCTACTCTTAAAGCAGTTGATTAGCAACCTTAATTCCATCCGCAACCTTAATTCCCCACTTGCCACACAACATATTGACAGGCTCTGGGAATTAAGATGTGGACATCTTTAGAGGGGGCCATTATTTTGCCTATCGCAGTTATATAGCAGGTGACTTAGCAAAAATATTCTGTTTTTGAAGATGAGTATATGATAAGAACAGTGATGGGAAGTACCTCTCAAAGGTTCCAAGACTTGTTGAAGCAAAGCCTTTGGTATTTGGCAGAGCAGAAAGGCAAGAATAAACTAAAGATAAAGGAATCAGTTCAAAGAGAGAGAAAGGCTGTGTGACTGCTTTCCTTGTCCTAATGTGGGCTTTTTAATGTGTTATAATCACAGTCACGGTTTTCAGATTTAAGCACTAATAAATGACTCAGAGACTTCTGTTTTGTGTGTAGTTCTTCAGTCTCTGGGTGCTCTCCGTGTGAATAAGTAATTAACGTCCCTCGTTTTCAGATTTACTAAGTTTTGAAAATACCCTTCCACCGAAATAGTTTTCCTAGCTTTTCAGGTAAAGAGGAGAAAATGAATCACAAAAATCAATGCATCCTTTTCTGATCACCTCTGCAATCACAAAGCATCAGTGGCTGTTGTATTTTCAGGCTGATGCAAAGAGGAGGCCTGGGGAAGGTGCATTCCAGGTGGGAAGGAGTAGTATAAATAGAAGAAGGAACTTTAAAAAAAAGAAACGAAGTGCTGATACATGCTACGCTGTTGGGTAAACCTCAAAAACATAATGCTAACTGAAAGAAAACCAGGCACAAAGCATCACATGTCATATGATTCCATTGATGTGAAATATCCAGAATAGGGAAATCCGTAGAAATAGATTGATGATTGCCAGGAGCTGCAGAGAGGAGAGAATGAATGACTGCTTAGTGGTTATGCGGTTGTATTTTGATGTGATGAAAATGTTTGGGAACTAGATAGAGGTGGCTGGTGGCTGCACAACATGTGACTGTATTAAATGCCACTGAATCGTTCACTTTAAAATGGGTTACATTGTATTATGTGAATTTTACCTGGATTAAAAAAAATGTACTTGATTAAATCCATGATACCTTTTGTCAGGTGTGCTGGACAAGATGCTAGAAACTGAAGATAAAATGAAGAATAAGGCACCTGGCTTTATGGGGCTTACAGTCCACTTGGAGGCCGTGGCCCCGTGAAGAAGCATGTCATAGAAACATATCGGGGTGCCAGGCGTGGACATGAAGGAAGGGCTCTTCTGTTCCATCTGGACAGCACCATCCAGTACAATCATAATATAATGTGAGCCCCATGCATAATTAAAAATTTCCCGGTAGCCATAGTTAAAAAAAGTGCAGAGAAACGGTTGAAATTATTTTGATACTGTGCATTATTTAACTCAATATACCTAAAACATCACTTGGGCTTGTCATCAGTATATAAGATTATCAACAAGGTCTTTTACATTTTTTTCATGCAGCCTTTGAAATCCAGCACATGTTGTTATAGACCAGCACATTGTAGGTGCTCACGGGCCACTTGTGCCAGTGGCTGGTGTATGGGACAGCACAGCTCTGGAGGGACAGGGATGATGTCTCTAGGGGGTGAAGCATGGCCTGGGGCTTGTGCTGCTCCAGGCAGAGAAAGTGGCGGGGGCCGTGGCCCAGAGGGGAGCAGAGGCTGGAGGGGGGCCGAAGTCTGCAAGCTGTGAGGTGACATGCTCACTCTACAGCCAAGGTCGAGCCTGATTTCGGTGGAAAGTGAGTATAATAGGGAGGATGTTTAAATGGACCTCTGGTATTTTTTTTTTCTGACCGATTTCCCAGAAGTGGAGATAAAGAAGAGGAAATGTAGAATTTGAGTTCCCGTTACAGGTGATTGATTTAAGGACTGTTGCCCCCTCTCCCCCTCAGCAGTCTGTCTCCAGCATTTTTTTCAAAATGAAAATAAATCTTGCAAAACTTGGTCTCATCTCAACTAAGTCACTAGTGCCTGGCTCAAGATAATGTTTCAATGTTAGCCAAGAGAGAAATCTCTCAAGGCAACCGATTCCAGAAGTGTAAGATGTGTTTTCATAACTTTTTTAACTTTAATTTTATTTTGAAATAATTGCAAACATACAGAAGTTACAAGAATAGTACACCTCCCAAATACCTTTTACCCAGATTTACCAATTTTGACATTTTGCCACATTTACATGCTAATTTACATAGACTCGTGTGTATATTTTTATACACACAAGTCTATGCCTGTTGTTGTTTTCTTCGTGTTATCGTTTTTTTATGAACCATAAATCGCGGACACCGTTCCTTTCCTCTCATGTTCTTCAGCTGGTACTTCCTAAGATCAAGGGCATTGCTAACAGAAATACAGTGCAATTATCAAAATCAGGAAATTTTACATCAGCGTAGTACTACGATCTAATCCCTAGTTTAAAATCACATTTTTTCCAATTATCCCAATACCATCTTTGATAACATCCCCCTCCCCCCGCCCCCGCCAATTCAGGATACGATCTAGGGTCACGCGTTGTATTTAGCTGTCATGTCTCTTTAATCTCCTTGCACCTGGAACATTGCCTCAGTCTACTTTATCTCTCATGACGTTAAACTTTTCGAAGAGGATACGC